GCTTGAAATACTCGCTTGAAGTGAGAACGAAACTCTCAGATTGCCAGTTCAGGGTTAAAAACAGTCGACTAAGATTTAGGAGGATCGATTGCTCAATAAAGCTCACCGTAACTGGTGATTTTAATATTACGCCGTTTTTATGCATTGACCGCAGCCTGTCTGTTTTACTCTGCGGCAGTAATTGTGTTAGTAGATTTTTAGGAGTTTCTTAGTCAGCATAGACTCTTACTTTGAGCAGAGATCTTCTATTAACTCAGAAGTCATTGTTTAAACCAGAATATGATGTTACTTATAAGGCCTTGCTGTTCCATGATGAACACGGCTGTAGTGCGTGTTTTAGGATTCTCTCCTGATGATCGTTAATAATATTGCCATTAACTCCCGACATTTCCTGGTTCAGTATTTGGCATTGAAATTATTCGCAGCTTTTTAGTAGAACGTATTTAAAATATTGGCTAATTATTTTCATTTATTTTCCTGAGTGAATACAGTTGTTACGATATAAAATAATCTACTAAATTCGAAGTATGAATAGCAGTTGTATCTGTTTGCACATAGGGGTAAATATATTAAAACAAAATAATTCGAATTACGGGAGTCAGCTTGAATATGCACATGGGTGATAGCACTTACAAAATAAGGTACTCGTGTAAGCACTGAGGAATTGGCGTTCCTTAACCTTCTTATGCACTGCCATGACAGTTCCCTATACTGTCTTCTATTTTCGTTAAGTTACATGAATTCCGACGTTCTACACAACCTTTTCTTTGCTTTCATTGGCTGCGTTTTTTATGTACGACGGTCGATTCCTATTTGTTCGCAGTTTTATATTCGCGGCTTACTTTCGTAGAGTATATCTAAACATTTTTTTACCCTTTTCGTGACTAAATACCTCTTTTTTGATGTAAACATAAGTAACTTCCAAATACTACTATTAAATGTAGCTGCCCGAATATATGGGGGTTAGTTGATTAGTCTTTGCAATTTTAGATGTGCTCACGCGTGGCTGTAAACCATATATTTGTGAGGGTATTATTTTATTTAGTTTTTGAACAGTAAGACAGTAAAACGGAGTTCTAAGCGATTTCAAGTGAGGCTCCAGTATTCGTGCATTTCAACCGTTTGCGGACAGCTGTGGTTGCTAAAAGCCGCAAACACATGCGCTCGACTGCATTTTGAGTTTATTCACAGAGGGAGACTGGTTGTTAATTTTCACTAAAAGCCGTCATAACCGCCTAATGGTAAAATTTTGCTTAGCGATCAAACATTTTCGCATTCAGTACATTGCACTCGCGGATCCAGCCAAACACACCCGTCGCCAGTATCGAGCCTCTGGTCAGTCAAATGTAAAAAGGTGGTCTCCTTATAGTGAAGTCCGTTATCTACTCAATAGCTTTTTTGAGGCTTTATAACATCCTATATTCAGGACTCAACCACCATATCATCAACCCTGGAGTGCTCTTCTCCCAATGGAGATTAGAAACAGCGCAGGTTTTTCGGTACTGTCAAACGTACAAATTAATAGAGGTTATGAACAGGGTATCGTGTAGCTGGACTCGCATCAGTTGCATATTTGCAGGCGACGAGGGCAACCTTGTTCGAACGCGACCGTTAT